TGCCAGCACAACTATGAGATCGTGGGCCTGGACCCTGGCCTGGGCAGTCCCAGAACACCCAAATCCTCCAAATATTTCCCTGAATCCAAAATTCACCCCCAAATCCTGGTAAAATGGTATGGCTTTAGATCTCTTTATTTAATTTCCTGATGCCACCAGAGTAATGCTTGATGTCACCAGAAGAAACAGCTGAACAGAGCAGGGGACATATTTTGGATTCAACAAATCAGCTCTTTCTAATGGTTTTCCACTGTCAATGGGTCTGGATGGGTGTTCCTGCCCCTGTGCTCATGCAGGTGCTTACAGCGATCCAGGAGGATGTGGAGACCACCAGCCAGGTGTCGTCCCAAAGGGGATCACCAGGAATGTGGGTCACCAGGTCTCTGCCCAACGTGGGTACTCTGATGGGGGACCAAGGTAGAGCAGAGCATGGAGCTCTTCCCAAACATGGGGCACTCACAGGGATTCCCTTACTGGTGGCAGCGTTGGTGTTTGGCCAAGTGAGATCTCTGGCTGAAGCACTTCCCACACTCAGGACACTCGTAGGGCCTCTCCCCAGTGTGGATGCGCTGGTGGGTGACAAGGTCACAGTTTTTCTTGAAGCCCTTCCCACAGTCTGGGCAGCAGAAGGGCCTCTCCTCTGAGTGCACCCGCTGATGGCCAACGAGATGGGAGCTCTGTGAAAACCTCTTTCCACACTCAGAACACTCATAGGGCCTCTCCCCTGTGTGGATGCGCTGGTGCTGGATCAGGCTCGAGCTGTCTCTGAAGCCCTTCCCACATTCCCGACACTCATAGGGCCATTCCCCAGTGTGGATCAGCCGGTGATGGATCAGGCGGGTGCTCTGGCTGAAGCTCTTCCCACACTCCAAGCACTTGTAGGGCTTCTCCCCAGCGTGAAGCTGCTCATGGACCACCAATTCTGAGCTGCAGCTGAAGCTCTGGGTGCCTTCCTGGCACAGGGTGGGTCTTTTCCCCTCAGAGCACCCTGGGCTGGATTTGGAGCCCCTCCTTGCACAAGATCTCC